CTTAAGTAGTCAGTTTTTACAATAGATACATTTTGCTAGGAGTCGGAACGAAACTCCTATCCTGAAATGAAATTACTTCAGAATACACTAGACGATAATCAGTATCACAAGTGGAGTCAATTCCGATGAGCGAAGGAGTATTAGTCTTTCGCATATGTCGAAATATTGCATGATCAACGGCGTCTACTCTTCAGTAGCTTACAAGCCAGAACGCAATCGCACGTCGCCAAAAGGAAACGTTATAAAAATAAACTAAACGAAAATGACTGCGTCAGGCCTAGGAATCAGGCCTACTGCTACGAAGTACGTAGACAGTTTTGGGAGAAATAAGCCATAGTGGACCCTTAACGTAACTGTCGCCGGATAAAATTATGTACGTCAGTAGGACCTGGCCTGAATTCGCTTGTCATGCCATTTTTGTAATCGTCTGAATCATCCCACATCGTTTGGCGTAAATTCATGGCTTTGGCAGGTCACTCTTTTGCCCAACTGCGGTTTTATTAGAGTAAACGTGATCAAAAGTAAACGTAATAAGTATATTACCAATGTTGTGTGGAGATGAAAATCAACGGGAACAGTGCACCATTGACATATTTAAGTCATTTCTTTGTTTTATTCTTCCAACTATAGGTAAATACATCCACCTATTTGAATATTACGCCGAGAGGAATGAAAATACAGACCCCGCAGAGTCATTCTGAGCTGAAACCGCTCACCAAAATGCTTTGGATGCTGACTAGTGTAGATTTCTTTTTTTGAGGTTAATGCAGCCATTTTAATTCACAAATATTGCCTCTGAGGCACTAACAACGTGTTACCAATAGCATCCCTTAGGTGCTTGTTAAACAATTGATGCGTCCTGTTTAAAAACCTTTATTAGGATAACTGCCGCCTTCGTGTATTGACGAGCGCGTTGGGAAACGTTCCCTATTGTTGAAAGAAAGCTTTTGTTAACGCACAAAGTCTTCCATCCTGCCTCCTTTGCTGTGGGCATCTGAATAGTAAAAAACAATTAAAGTAAGGCGTCTTGTCGATGCTAGCACACCATTTAAGCTCCGAGCGGATTTCACGAGAACCTGGAAAACAGCGGAGTTGAGGTTACGTAGTAAAGTAGTGGAAAGGGGAAACGAATATAAAAAGATGTTATTCAAAATGTTGTTGTAAAGCGGTGATCAATCAATCAAAGGACAGTCTAATAATTGATGCTTCATTTTCAAAAGCCCTTTTAGGACTGTTGTTTGTCCTTGCAATGGGAAGTTGCTAAATGCATCTAGGTACACCCAAACTTGAGTTGTTGGAAGCTCATTGACAAAGAATATGTAGTAAACAAAGGCTCGCCCCGAAGTTGTTTGCCTTTATGGATGCTGTCCTTTTGTGAGTAGACTGTTATGTAGTTTCAATTAGTGATTTGGCTCGATTTTTAAGAGTTTTTTTGCACAATGTTGAGCTCAAATATTCCGGCAAAGTAGAACAAGATTGAACTTTGTTGGGCAAAGAGTATTTGTAACACAGTGAAAATTTTGGACCTATATTAACATCAAAAATAAATGATGGTAGTACTCTCCTTAGTAAATATTTGCCCATAGCGTGGGAACACACAAGGCGTTTTACACGTATATAGTAGTTCAGCATAGTTCAGTATATTTAGGGTAGTAGACAATGCCTTTGATGACCCTATTAAAAATAGTATGAATGAAATATCCAACATAAAATATGTCACTATAAAACAGTGAGTAACATATATTATGTACAAATTTGGCCGCAGGTGTGTTAACGTGGCGTGAGATGGGCTCTTTTGTGGTTTAACTTGTGCGTGAGAGCATTCAGAATTTTTTCTTGGGTACATAATATATCCAACATAAAATATGTTACTGTAATATAGTGAGTAGCATATACACATGTAAAGTTTTATCTATGGTTATGTCCGAGGCGTAGATTATTCCTGCTTCCTTGAACATATGAACGGTAACTGTTAAGTCGATGTTCATCCAGTTTCCGTTTGAATGCATCAGTGGAGTTCGCCATTACGACCTCCTCGGGCAGTCCGTTCCAGGCACCGATGACTCGTTGTGAGCACGACTGCTTGCGGAACTCTAGGTAGGATAGGGTTCCCCGCAGTTTGAGGGAATTCCCAAGGAGGTTGGTTGAAGTG